GCTTCAACTCAGCCCGCAAGAACTTGCGATGCGAGCCGTCTGCCATCTCTACCACGTGCGTAAGTTGGTGCCTGCACTGACACCACCTTGGCCGGACCACCCCAACGCGCAGACGAATCGTGCGACTTGCCACGAAGCCGATGCCATACCTGAGATACGACCGGCAACAATGGTACGTCCTCTCTCCTGATATTGACGCGACTCTACTGTTCCAGCTGAGCTCGCCGATCTCGAACTGCCACGACAGCGTCACGAACCATGGCTTCTGTACCCTTCTCAGACTCCAGCAAGGATAACACTCTGTCCTGCAGCTCCAAACGCTTCTGTCCGTTGAAGTCCCTGTCAGTCATGTGGAAATATGGCGAGAACCCAGTGACTGAGTTGCGCGTGGCGTTGTAAATGCGCACCATCTCATAAACCAAGTGAAGCCACGCATGAGGAGAATCATCTGCTGCTTCAATCTCTCTGCGAAGCCAATCCTTCATCGTCCTGCTGAGTGTCTCTGGCCGTCCATTACCCTGCGGTCCACTGTGATCCAGTGCGGCTCAAGGTTACGATGATTACAAAACGTCGCCACGTCTCCGTTCTGGAACTTCTTGTCCGCATCCATCACGAGACGCGCAGGAGATCCCCACGCCAAGACCTGCTCCTCCATAAAGCGTACTACAGAGGGTCCATCTGCACTCGGCTGGAGACTCTCGCAAACATCATACGCGTCTGTGTGTTCAACAGCCAGCAACACCTTGGATTGACCGTTCACAAGGTCAAAGTCCATGAAGTCCATGCTTACGCCACGCATGGCTTCCTCAGGGCGTGTCGGTTGCTGAAGAAGACCCTTCTCCTTCTTCAAGTCGTCAGATATTGCTTGACAGGCGTCACAACTCTGACGCACATGAGTGCACATCTCTATCATGCCACTCCAACCCCAGAGCGTGCGTGTCAGCTGGTCTAACAGTTTAGCACTCGCATGCGCGAAGAGCTCATGGGTATAGCGTACAATCCGCTCAATGATTGTACCCCCCCCACAGCTCAACCCAAAGACCGAACACTTCATCGACTGAAGTCGATTTCGCTTCATATCTTCCTTGGGTTCATCCACTGGATCTTCCTTCATCTTAGTGCGTTCCTCAGCACTAAGAGGTTCTGGAACCACCGGTTCATCCAGATCCATGTCGTTCTGAGCAGGTAACGTATCCACAATCTTAGCCATATCCTTCTGCTGACGCGTCAACTTTGGGGACTTGGCATTCTGACTGCGTGTGTACACCGCTCCTAACGACCCCCCAGCCTGAGGCGTGCCAACTTCTTCCAGTTGGGCTTTTGCTTTCCTCACCGCCTGATCCAGCACCTCGCTGGTATCACGCCATGACTGTGAGGAGAAAGCACCTACCGCAGAGATAGGTGTAGTCTCTCTTACCCCAGCCTCTTCCGCTGGGAGCCCACATCTAACTCTCTACCACTCGGATGAGTCACAGCACCCACTGTGTCTTCCTGCACCATACAGGACACAACCCCATCCTCACGTTTTACTGCCGCCGCAGCTAGCTTTTCAAAGAGGGGCCGCTCAGCCTACAACTTCTCCCAGAAGTCCTTTCGCAACTTGTGCGGTCTGTAAGGACTCATGTGGCATACGAGAGTCACAAAGTCAGGCGCCGGCGTAGACTCCTGCCCATGCCTCAGGAAAACACCTTCCTTCAGGTAAATGTCCATCGGATCAGCCGAGAGAAACCATCCCCTTGAATCAGCGAGCTCCAGGAGCATAAGGACACACCAACGTTGCAGTCGCCTTATCTCTTCTGATCCTCGCTATTACTCTGCTCAGATCAGACCACATCGGATTGAAGTACGATCTTGTACCCATCCAGGTCCGCAACGTTAACACCCCCCTCCTGCCAGCGTGGGCTGATAGAAAGGCTTCATCCGATAGCTAGTCGGATGAGCAAAGCCTTCCGCATCAAACGGACCAAACTTGTCATATACCTTGTTGAACCAAGTCTTTCCCAGTGCGTAGGATTCAGTCCTGGGCTCCACCACCACCGGATCGCTCCAGTGAACCCGATCTTCTACCGGTACACCCCGCGCCTGCATAATGGGGTCAATGTGGTATCCTAAGCGTAACTGCATGTCAGCTACCGGATTCAGCTCACCAGGTATATGCTTCAGTACTATATCAAAATCCCTTATTACCTGAGCATACCGAGCCATCCTCCTTCCTCGCACCGAGGAGTCATAAGACACCGTATCTTTTGTCAGCATAGTAAGCAACGGCTCTTGGTGCGTGAATGTCGTAATCGGATGCTGCGATCTCTTGACTATGCACCAAGACTTGTGCAGACAATACACAATAGCCAAGGCCTCCCTATTCGTAATATGGTATCTTAACTGGGCTGGGCTGAACTTCGAAGACTAGAAGTCTACCTACCGGGCACAACTTCTTGTCTCGTCGAGCAAACAATCCCCCCCCCCCCACCCACTCCTACAGAGTCACACTCGTCACAGTACAATTCCAACTTATCCTCGAACCCAGGTTCGACCAGAACCCCCCTCTTGGCCACCTCAGCGCGGATGCGATCATATACTTCCTGCTGGATCGGTCCCCACTTAAAGGGGACATCCTTCTTGCTAAGGTCCGAGATGGGGGCCATGATCCGGGAATAATCAGGAATGTTTTTGGCTCCAATAGCCAATCGTGTGTTATACCAGGAGGCAAGTAAATCCTTGTCCGTGGGTGGGGGCACACGCAGGATGGCATGCACCCTATCCTCGCTAATAGCAGAACCGTTTTCGTCAACAAGTCGACCCAACGCTAGCACCGGGCGATCAGAGAAGCCAAAGCAACACTTCTTGAAGTTCAACTTGACGTTGTGCTTCTTACATGTCGCAATCAACGCCCTGATGCTCTTCCAATGCTTCTTGGGATCATTTCTTGGGATCATTGTCCCCAACGCCCATATCGTCAATGTAGGTCTTGAGTCCGTCAACGGTCTGAAAGGCATACTCCATCCTCTGCTGCATAAGCCAGGACACCGGCTTGATGCCGAACGGCATGCCAACGAACGTGCGCTTGCCCCACGGGGTCCAAATCGTTAGTAGATGCTGCGAGCCTTCCGCCACCTTGAGCTGACAGAGAAACCCTGGCCAAGATCTACCATGGTGCGGTACTTCTTGCCACGCACTGATGACAGAAACTCCTGCTCCGTAGGTACCGGGTGCTTTTCGCAGTCCAACGAGCCATTAAGCTTCTTGTAATTAATACAACACCGCCAGTCGATAATCGACAAAGGAACAAATCCAGGTCTCTTAAAGACCATGTGCGGCATTGCACAATAACCCTTGGCTTCTGCCTCCGAAATTTCCCGTGTAATGCCCAGTCCCCCACTTTACCACTAAGAACCGAAGTGAACGTGGGATCATTGTTGGGGTACACATGATAGGCTGGCTTCGAACCATCCTTCACCTTGACACCATAAACGTGGGAGAGGCAGCATTATAAAGCTACTGACTGTATATCCTTAATCATAGCAGTCAACTCTCTTAGGAAGTGGAAGTCCACACGCCTTGTGTAACTTCTTCAGCTGAGACTGGTCAAACTCCAAGTGTGCCTGCGGATCCACCTCCTTAGCCGGAGATATCGTTGTCGCATCAATTGGCATGTCCACCTCAGCTAACAGGTCATGAAGACGAGGTAGAACGTACTAAGCAGTCTACCCGTTTCTTAATCTCCATGAAATGTGCTTGAACCGACGAAATATAATTCATCCGCTCCTGCTCTTTGAACTGGTTCCTGTGAATCGCTCGTAATCCCAAATGGCTGCGTATAGTGTTCAACCGTAGATCCTGTGGAATCGTTGGACTCAGTATACGACGCTTATGCCGTATCTCCGTTCTAGTAGCTTGTGCCCGCTTATCCGACGGGCCACGCACGCCCGGCTGGTCCCCATCCGCTGCATCTTATTCTAGGAAATCGATCACCTGCATTTGAGGCGTCACCGCCAGCCAATCCTACTTGGTCCACATAAGGGACAAGCGTTCCTTTCTCAAATCTTTAAATCCTACAGAACATCCGTGTCAAATGGCAGAGATTTGACAATGAGAAGATCCACATAGGGCGAACCAAAGAGTTTCCTCCCCATGTATCCCAGGTCACCGAAGAAGTATCCACACCAGAAGGGACCAGACCCATTACTGCCACACCCTTGTAAGGCAAGCCCAAGTATCGAGCTACATTCAACCCCTGCTGGGCCGCAAAGAACTCGGAGACCAAACTTGAAGTTGCGCCAGAGTCAACGTAAACCTCTACATCTTCTCCCTGTATTGCGCCCTTAATAACACTCCCTGCTTGCGCCTTCTCCTTCACTGTCGCCCCCAGCGACCCTGCCAGTCACTTCTGACGACACTTAGCCGCAATGTGACCAGACTTCTGACAGGTGTAGCACTTAAAAAACCCTTGTCATCGCCGGATAACTCTACCCCTCCCTTATCATCAGAGACCTGGGATCGCGTACGCTTACGAGTCAGTTTGTCTGTGACCCGTGCCACTTGTCGCGGTTTCTTCAACAGCTTCCGCAAATCCTTCCCTTGGTTCTTTAACTTGGTTCGTAGGTCACTCAGCGCAGCCAACGTCCCGTTGTTCATGTTGTACCGATCACCCTGTGGCTCTGTCGGCACTGTGGGAGCACCCTTAGCATCACGTTCCTCACGCTCCTCCTTAAGTGTAAGCAAGACCGGAGTCAAACCACCCATATTGTAAGAGCGGCGAACACTCTTCCCCAAACGCTTGTAGTGAATAAATAGGCGTTCCAAAAAAACCCCTATAGTATCATGCACAACATCTAAATTAACCATAACCGCATCACCAAACACCGATTCCACTTTGAAAAAACTTGCATGAGGGCTCAAAAAACTCTCCATGCAATGTGATCAGCAATCACACTTTCTGTCGTGGATAGCTGTGCAACCTGGCCCAGGTGTTCACGCATAGCTTGCGTCATGTCATCCACCTATTTGAAGTCTGTCAACGGAGCACCCGTAGATACCGTGCCAGCCTTCGCTATCTGCTTCAGCAACGCATCCATTTAAGTCCCTAGTCGAGCACTAAGTTGTTGATCCATACCTCCATCTTAAACAAGCCTGCCGCACCGCCCGTAGCCCCTGCTTGGACACGCCGATCTATCAACCGAAAGAGGTGGTGGGCCATAATAGCCCATACTCCATACGTTTGAATGTTCTGAATCACACTCTCAATCAGCTCCGGATTCGTGGCGTACTGATCTGCCAACAAGTCTGCCGTTTCCAACATAGAGCTCCGCGGTTGTACGAATAGCATAGCCAACATCTGATTATGCTTGGCCAAAATCACTGAGTCGATCATACCAATGTCAATCCATCGATCCCCTAGTAGCGCCCGTACACTGGCCTGAACTGCCGTGTTGAATCCATGGAACAGATAGTCGTTGCCTTGATGCGCCTGCTTCATTCCTGGCACTATAATACCAGATTGATGATGGGCCCTTCGCTCTTTAATGGCGTGACCTGGGCCCTTCACCCTTTGGAGATAGTCATCCCATTTCTTCTCGTCGAATGTCACAATCCATTCCGTCAGTTCGAATTTTACATTTTTTTGTAATGTACTGTCTACCTTACTACCTAATATTATTGTGAGTACTTCCTAGCCGTATATCTTCAGACGTACATCACAGTTTATTGTTAGCTATCATACAGGTTATAATAATAGTGTCGTAGCGTATGTATACAATATTGTGTTCACGTGAATTCCACCATGTGCGAATTCACATCAAATATTGATGACACCAAATTACTGAAAACTGATGGCAGGCCTGGCCGGCCCAAATCCTGGCCCAGAATTGGGTCGGCCAAAACCTAACCCTAAAACCTAACCCCAAAACCTTAGGGCTCAGTTCACAGTCCATCACAACCCCCCGCTACGGTTGCATGCCACATGCTAGTCGTGGCTGCCACCGTATCCACTGTGTTTGAGCACCAACTAATGGCCTCTGCTCCTCGTACGTCTAAAAGAAAAATTGTCTACCTATGTACACCTCGTGTGTACATGCAAGAGAGACTTACTCTCCACCCCCCCGTGGGAGGTGGAGTTTAGCCGCTCTACCTCCACCCTGGAGGATTTTCACGAAAATTAACGCCGCGCCGGTATCTCGACTCCATCCTCGGACAACTGTAGCTCACCCCACATTCGAAGATGTTAGCGTGTGGTGTGGGGGACTAATAGTAAAGTGCTAGTGTATTAAAAGTACTTTATGATCTCACCCTCAGCTATATACTGATGGGGTTTGTACTAGTGTTCAACCACTTGGGTTGGCTAGGGTAAAAACTCATATGAACAGTATGGGAAACCTTATGCAGAACACTTTAGCACTCGGATATATTTTCTAGAAATAAATACATCTTATTCTCTGTTACTACACTCAGTCTCGGACCTCGGCTCTCGGCTAGCCGGTGGCCCGTATTCTATAAATAGAATAATCTGAGAAGAAGTCTCAAATTACTCTTACGTTCTCTCGGGAAGACCCACCTATACTTATATTAATTTGAGAACAAGTCCCAAATTACTCGCGCTTCAGAAGGGCATCATACTGCGCCGGAAGCACATGTTTTCTTCCGGACCCTGGTACAAGCGGTGTGTAACATGGCAATTCTGTCTCATCACACCACATTTGCCACCGACCCCATACCGAACTCATAGCGGTGGACTATGTGCGTGCCTTCTTCGTACGTCTCAGGCAGTGGCCAATCGCCTGCTTGTAACCATCCTTGGAGTCACAAAACGGTGAGTGATATTGTATCCAATCCTCAAAGGGACCAGACGGTCTGTATCGGACAGTAGTCCGCGCACTCGCTTCTCTGGAGAGCTGTCCCACATGGGGCTTCAACTAAGCCAGCAAAAACTTGCGATGCGAGCCGTCTGCCATCTCTACCACGTGCGTAAGTGGTGCCTGCACTGACACCACCTTGGCCGGATCACCCCAACGCGCAGACAAATCGTGCGACTTGCCACGAAGCCGATACCATACCTGAGATCCGATCGGCAACAATGATACGCCCTCTCTTCTAATATTGGCGCAACTCTGCTGTTCCAGCTGAGCTCACCGATCTCGAACTGCCGCGACAGCGTCACGAACCATGGCTTATGTACCCTTTTCAGACTCCAGCAAGGACAACACTCTGTCCTGCAGCTCCAAACGCTTCTGTCTATTGAAGTCCCTGCCAGTCATGTGAAAATATGGCGAGAACCTCGTGACTGAGTTGCGCGTGGCGTTTTAAATACGCACCATCTCATAAACCAAGTGAAGCCACGCATGAGGTGAATCATCTGCTGCTTCAATCTCTCTGCGAAGCCAATCCTTCATCGTCCTGATGAGTGTCTCTGGCCGCCCATTACCCTGATGGCGATCCACTGTGATCCAGTGCGGCACAATAATACGACGTTTACAGAACGTCGCCACGTCTCCGTTCTGGAACTTCTTGTCCGCATCCATCACTAGACGCGCAGGAGATCCCCACGCCAAGACCTTCTCCTCCATAAAGCGTACTACAGAGGGTCCATCTCCACTCGGGCTGAAGACTCTCGCAAATATCATACGCGTCTGCGTGTCAACAGCCAGCAACACCTTGAATTGACCGTTTACAAGGTCAAAGTCCATGAAGTCCATGCTTACCTCACGCGTGGCTTCCTCAGGGCGTGTCGGTTGCTGAAGGAGACCCTTCTGTCTTCCCCAAGTCGTCAGATATCGCTTGGCAGGCGTCACAACTCTGACGCACATGAGTGCACATCTCTATCATGCCACTCCAACCCCAGAGCGTGCGTGTCAGCTGGCCTAACCGTTTAGCACTCGCATGCGCGAAGAGCTCATGGGTATAGCGTACAATCCGCACAATGATTGTACCCCCCACACCTCAACCCCAAAGACCGAACGCTTCATCGACTGAAGTCGATTTCGCTTCATATCTTCCTCGGGTTCATCCTTAGCGCGTTCCTTAGCACTAAGAGGCTCTGGAACCACCTGTTCATCCAGATCTATGTCGTCCTGAGCAGGTAACGTATCCACAATCTTAGCCATATCCTTCTGCCGACGCGTCAGCTTTGGGGACTTGGCATTCTGACTGCGTGTGTACACCGCTTCAAACGACCACCCAGCCTGGGGCGTGCCAACTTCTTCCAGTTGGGCTTCTGCTTTGCTCACCGCCTGATCCTGCACCTCGCTGGTATCACGCCATGATTGTGAGGAGAAAGCACCTACCGCAGAGAGAGGTGTAGTCTACACCACAGCCTCTTCCGCTGGGAGCCCACACCTAACCCTCTTACCACTCGGATGAGTCACAGCACCCACTGTATCTTCCTGCACCATACAGGACACAACCTCATCCTCGCGTTTTACTGCCGCCGCAGCTAGCTTCTCAAAGAGGGGCCGCTCAGCCTCCAACTTATCCCAGAAGTCCTTCCGCAACTTGAGCGGTCTGTAAGGACTCATGTGGCACACGAGAGTCACGAAGTTAGGCGCCGGCATAGACTCCTGCCCATGCCTCAGGAAAACGCCTTCCTTCGGGTATATGACCATCGGATCAGCCGAGAGAAGCGGAACCATTTCCTTGAACCAGCGAGCTTCAGGAGCATAAGGACACACCAACGTTGCAGTCGCCTTATCTCTCCTGATCCTCGCTACTACCCTGCCCAGATCAGACCACATCGGTTTGAAGTACCACCTTGTACCCATCCAGGTCCGCAACGCAAACATCCCTCCTGCCAGCGTGGGCTGATAGAAGGGCTTCATCCGATAGTTAGTCGGATGAACAAAGCCCTTCCGCATCAAACGGACCAAACTTGTCGCATACCTTGTTGAACCAAGTCTTTCCCAGTGCGTAGGATTCAGTCCTGGGCTTCACCACCACCGGATCGCTCCAGTGAACCCGATCTTCTACCGGTGCACCCCGCGCCTGCATAATGGTGTCAATGTGGTACCCTAAGCGTGACTGCTCACCAGGTAAATGCATCAGTACTATATCAAAATCCCTTAGCACCTGAGCATACCGAGCCATCCTCCTTCCTCGCACCGAGGAGGCATAAGACAGCGGATCTTTCGTCAGCATAGTAACCAACGGCTCATGATCCGTGAATATCGTGAGCGGATGCTGCGATCTCTTGACTATGCGTTATCCGTAATGTGGTATCCTAACTGGGCTGGGTTGAACTTCGAAGACCAGAAGCCTACCGGGCACAACTTCTTGTCTCGTCGAGTAAACAACCCCCCACCCACTCCTACAGAGTCACACGCGTCAGTGCAATTCCAACTTATCCTCGAACCCAGGTTCGACCAGGACGCCCCTCTTGGCCACCTCAGCGCGGATGCGATCATATGCTTCCTGCTGGATCGGTCCCCACTTAAAGGGGACATCCTTCTTGCTAAGGTCCGAGATGGGGGCCATGATCCGGCAATAATCAGGAATGCATTGGCTCCAATAGCCAATCGTGTGGTACCAGGAGGCAAGTAAATCCTTGTCCGTGGGTTAGGGCATACGCAAGATGGCCTCCATCCTATCCTCGCTAATAGCAGAACCGTTTTCGTCAACAAGTCGACCCAATGCTAGCACCGGGCGGTCAGAGAAGCCAAAGCAACACTTTTTCAAGTTCAACTTGACGTTGTGCTTCTTACATGCCGCAATCAACGCCCTGATGCTCTTCCAATGCTTCTTGGGATCATTGTCCCCAACGCCCATATCGTCAATGTAGGTCTTGAGTCCGTCAACGCTCTGGAAGGCGTGTTCCATCCTCTGCTGCATAACCCAGGACGCCGGCTTGATGCCGAACGGCATGCCAACGAACGTGCGCTTGCCCCATGGGGTCCAAAACGTTAGTAGATGTTGTAAGCCTTCCGCCACCTTGAGCTGACAGAAACCCTGGCCAATATCTACTATGGTGCGATACTTCTTGCCACGCACTGATGACAGAAACTCCTGCTCCGTTGGTACCGGTTGCTCTTCGCAGTCCAACGAGCCATTAAGCTTCTTGTAATTAATATAACACCGCCAGTCGTTAATCGACAACGGAACAAATCCAGGTCTCTTAAAGACCACGTGCGACATTGCACAATAACCTTTGGATTCTGCCTCCGAAAATTCCCGTGTAATGCGACCTTGATCCCAGTCCCCCACTTTACCACTAAGCACCGAGGTGAACGTGGGATCATTGTTGGGGTACAGATGATAGGCTGGCTTCGAACCATCCTTCACCTTGAACTCGACACCGTCCCGAAAACGGATGTCGTCAAACACCATAAACGGGGGATAGGCAGCATTATAAGCTACTGACTGTATATCCTTAATCATAGCAGTCAACTCTCTCTTAGGAAGTCCACACGCCTTGTGTAACTTCTTCAGCTGAGACTGGTCAAACTCCAAGTGTGCCTGCGGATCCACTTCCTTAGCCGGAGATATCGTTGTGGCACCAATTGGCATGTCCATCCCAGCTAGCAAGTCATGGAGACGAGGTAGGACGTACTCGTCTGCGTCATTAAACCCTAAACCCTAAACCCTAAAACCACTCGTTTCTTAATCTCCATGAAGTGCGCTTGAACCGACGCAATGTAGTTCTTGCGCTCTTGCTCCTTGAATTCATTCCTATGAATTGGTCCACATAAGCTCAGGCCATATTTTACAGCAAGAAACCATCTTTGATTATGGAAGTCATCAGAATTAGCTCACTCCCGAGAGCTAAGTCATCAGAGTTTGCTCACTCCCGAGTGCTAATCAAGTTCCTCAAATTACTCTCAAGAGTTGAGTTATTACTCAACCGACTTCCGAGAGCAGATTTAGTTTCTCAACCGATTCCCGAGAGTGGATTAAGCCTGTCAACCACAACATATTAATAATAGCTGCGGTTCTATGTGAGTCACAACCTATGCGGAAAGGCATCATGTGATCAGCGTAAGATTTAGTTGCAGAGAAGTTGAAATAGAAAAGCATCGAAGTGTTAAAGTGTTCCGCATAAGGTATCTCATACTGACCATATGAGTTTTTACCCTGGCCAGCCCAAGCGGCTGAACACTAGCACAACAACTTAGGTATAAAACCAAAGGTGAGGTCAGAAATAAATATATACATTTGTACTTTATTTAAAGTCTACTACATTGTACTCTAACAGTTGTTGGTACAAACCTATGGTATAGTTCGATAATGATCTCAGAGCAAGATAATCCACTGAGAAACTAGATGTGCCCGTCTATGCCTCAAATGGGATGGGGAGCTAGGTACCAAGTGATGAGGTCTAGGTGCAAATGTATACTGCACCAGCTTGGTGTTTTGATTTGATTTTTATTTTCTTAAGTTGGACTTAGAGGTATTTTATTGGTTAGTTTGATTAGATGATTATTTCGAGGCGTGAAGTGTAAACTAAGCGTCTAATGAAAGGATATCTGATCTTAGTAACTAAAACATAAATAAATCTAGACCGAGGTAGTGAGTGATTAGAGCGGAGCATATAGACAATAGTCTCAGTCTAAAATCCCCTAATCTTTTACTCATTACCAAGGGCTGAAGCTAAACTTATTTAACATTTTGTATTTTAACGTATAAACGTATTTTCTTATTAACGTAAACGTCTTGGAATCGTATAGTCAGCCTAGAGGAGACCAACTTGTACAGTATCTATAACTAAATAACCAATTGATTGATATCTGATTTTAATTATTGACACCAAATAAATCTAGACTGACGCTGTGTGTGATTAAAGCGGAACTATAAAGACAACAAGATCAGTCTTAACTCCCCTAATCGTTAGCTCACTACTTAGAGCTGAAGCTAGATTTAATTTATTTCTGCATTTTAACGTATTAAAGTATTAACTGAGAGTGAGTTCATTCCAACGCACCATTCTCTCCATCCAGTTTGGGTTTAGGCCTCTGTGGTTCTCTATGGTGGTTAGGATGGTTCTTAGTGCCTTTTGGAGGTACGTACATTTCATGATCTATAAAGCTAGGAAGAATGACGTCTGAGGATATATCTTGACTACATAAGGACGTTTGTTTGTGGGTAAGATTACATCAGCATTAGCTTTATTTTGTGTAGGCGTTTGCTAAACTTCTTATTAGCAGCTACCAATACGTCTGGTTCATCAAAAGCTGATGGTCGTAGTTCGTATTGTGCCCCATCTGCAGATTTCGGTGTGTATTATATCATGTCATCATGTTTGTACTTCCTGAGAATCTTCTTAAACTCGTAAGAAATGAAGTGTAGTAGCTTCATGACGTGTGCGACGTAGAATGATTTCTGTCGCTGGAGTGCGATGTGACCGATATTTAAGGCACTAATAAAAGTTGTCAACGTTGTTAACTTCATGCATCCCGATCTTCTCATCGACCACAGAAATCTTGAATGGTCCAATATACTTCGCTGTAAGCACAGTTGGGTTGGAATTGCAAGCCATACTGTTTACTATATCGCCTACCTCAAACTCGAATATCTTCATGAAATTATTACATCGCCTTTGTCTCTTCGCGAGGGCCGATATTCTTCATAGTTTTTAAACAAACAAAGACTACGTCCCTGGTTTGACGCATCTTCTCCATCCATGAAAACACATTACATTCTTGATGTAGAGTATGAAGGGTAGCTGAAAGATACTTCCAAAGGAAATAATCGACCTCTTCCCAAGTACGGTTATCTTAGCCAGGGATAGTTCCTAGTCTGAGAGAACCGAACTGAGTCTTTGTTTATGTTTTCTAATTCACTCGATTCAGGCTTATACTTGAGTGTTTCTCTCGCACGCGCG